TTTTTTTTTAAAAAAAAACAAAGGGCCCAGTGCCCAAGGCTGATATTAGTGATGAAAGATATTGAGGCCGGGGTCCTCACAGTCAACCCAGAGTAACGAAATCGAGATTGCTGAGAACCGGGCTCAGCGTCCCTTATGATGATGACCGTAGGATCTAAAAGTTTTAAGGTGCCGGAGCCATTACCCGGGATTGGCTATGGAAGCTTCTAGGCTACTCGGAAGTTTACTTTAACAAACTTCAGAAAATCAGTCTGCTACAATCTGAAAAAGCCACCACAGAGGTCCACAAATGCTCAGAAATCCACGAATCCCTAGCAACCCATCTGAGTTCTCCAACACTGACAAAAACTCACTGCTGAGCTCTTCCAGGTCTCACACCCTCCCCCTGCTGGGTTACAGGGTGACACGACTCACCCCATCTCCGACCAGCGTTGTCTCAGCAGCAACCCTAGGTTGTCCCATATAATGCCCCCCCAAAGCATCCCCAAATCTCTCTACCAAGCCTCACACTCCTGCATCCGCAGGTTACAAGGCAATGCCCCAGCACCAGCCAACGTCATTCTGGCATCGAACACTCCGCAGGTCACTGAGTTCATCAGTACTGAATCATCTAAGATGGGTTATCAGAAGTCCCCAAATTCCTAAACACTCTTGGGACCCTTGTTGGTAACCCAAAAAACCAGCAGACCTTTAAATATAGACTTTTAAGGTAATTCCTAGCCTTCCTTTAAATCTAGACTTACTCAGGGACAGTACCAACCATACTAACATCTCCCATAACTGATATCTTTTCGCCACTACGCAGCCCCCCCTGATTCGCCACCGGATTACCTTCCACCCTCGGCAACCCCCAGATCTCTCTACAAGGCCTCATACTCCTGCAAATTGCAGGTCACAGGGCGACGCCCCAGCTCCGGCCAGCGTCGTTCTGGCATCGGCAAAACAGGGGCACAGAATAAAAGAACTATGCGGATATCAGTACAGTTGTGACCCTCTCTGAACTCCTACACCCCAGTTGCAAGTAAGGGCTAAATACTACCAAGGATCCAGAACCAGAGAACATTAGCAAGGAATGCACAACCAAACAACCACCCACTCTCCCCGCAACCATTGAAGAAAACTACAGGTCTCGTGTTCAGTCCTCAAAACAACACACGACTGGTCTCATACACTCCCATGCTAGAGTCACAGAACCTCACCAAGCCCCTTGTACTGACCAACCTAGTGAAGCTGGTGAGGAGTGTCTTCCTCCCTCGGCAACTCCCCATAGCCGCACGCCCCAAAAGGTGACAGGGATACACCCCAGCTACGACCACGTCGAAAGTGTTGGTTCTATCTTCCTCCATCGACAGAACTCCCCAAGCCTCATGCTCCTCTCCGGGTCACGGAGCAAAACACTCCAGCATCGGCCTGCGTCGTCCCAGCCCCTTCCTTCTAACCTACTAACCACACCCACAATCCCTCCTCGGTTGCCCCCCCTTCCCCCTCTTACCCCGCAGCCCTCTTAGGGCCATATCTCAACAAAATCTGAATTAAAAAGAGGAAAATAAGAAAAAATGGAAATGGGAGATGACCGTTTTTTTTGTGGACCATGGATCGGAGATCAGATCTCATGGTGCAGAGGAACTAGCCGTTTTTTATAGGCCAGCCCAAAATGGCTAGCTTCGGAATGAGGTGGCAGCCCAAAATGGAAAGAAACAAAAGAAGAAAAGAGACAAAAATATGCATTTGACCCAAAAAGAGAGCCAGATGCACCAAAAGTTGAAAAATTGAACTTAGGAGCCCAAATTTGAAGCAAGGGCTACTTGGGGTAGCTCGGAATATTATTGGCCTTGGATCTCAGCTGGATCCAAGGCTAAAACAGCACCGAGGCATGAAAAAATACCTCGGCCTACCAAAAATGGGGTAGAAACTGAAAAAATCGAGAAAAAAGCCTAGTGAGGCTGCCCCTTGGGCATTGGGACCCAAGGGAGCAACATTTTGGAAATGGAAAGGAGGCTGAAGGAGGCCAAGAGGCAATCTGAGTTGGTACCAACCACTTGGACTGCATGTACTTGGCCAAAAAGAAGCCCGGGTACCTCCGGAAGGGCCTAGTAGTGGAATTTTGCCTTGGGGGTACCTCGGTTCACCTCAAGGCACATGAGGAGGCCCATGGGCTGGCCGGAGTGCTGGTTTCAACCTACATACGCTGAGGATTTAGTCCGCCACACTCACATTTGCACGAGGAGTGCCCATGCTGCCCAAGTGAGCTCATAGGAGCACTTTCTCATTTGGAGAAAGGAGAGGGGAACCCCTAT